CGCTCTTCCACATTTTCCTCCCCCCCAAAACAGTGAAAACATTCAAGGGAAAAAAAAATAAATCCCCCCAACCAAATTATCTGGCACGTGTTAAACTTACAGCAACTATTTCAGAAGTATTTTGATTTCAAACCCCTTTGGGCTGATGCAGACATCAAAATGTTTATATAGTAATTTGCAGTAAAAGTATTTTTCATACCTGTGCAGGTGTGTCTGTCTCATTAATTGGTTGTCCATCAAATCTGAATCTAATCTGCCTCATTGACAAGCCCTGCAAGTTTAAAGCAATTAACATGAGAAACCACACTTTTGTTTCCAAAGCCAAACAAAACATTTACGGATTTAGTGTCAGAACAAATATTAAGAAAATTAAGACTCAAAAGATTTAACCAGGCAGGAAACTTAGCGCATCTTGCTACACAAATTGAGGAAGCAGAGATGTTTGAGCGACATCCCGCTGCACCGCTGTCACAGCAAGGACTCTATATGGAACCACAGGTGCAGGTTTGGCACGTGGTTCTGATCCTGCTCTGCAATGCACAAATATCCAAAGTTAATTTACAAAGGTATTTAAAGAAGAGATCAATCAATACACCATTTCATAGAGCCTCAGAGAACATGGCAGGAAGGAGCAGCAATTGTTTCTCATGCAGTCAGAGAAGTAACGATTGATTAAGATGACTCGAAGGAAAACATTTAAAAAAAGACTGAAAAAACTACTTTTTGTGTATCTAGCTATCAGCACCGACTACCCACAGTTAAGACAAGTTTTCACTCATGCCAGGCATCTTCTCCCAGTTCTAGTTCTTCTGATGAAAAAAGGAACCATGAAGAACACGTTTTGAGGAAAAAAAGAACTTGCAGGACTTGATGCAGATTTTTACTTGCAAGGTTTATTAGAAAAATGGTAGGGTCTAACGTTAGCAAGTTAACGTTGCCCTTAAAACCTGAATTGAATTCATGACTGAATCCTGTTCTGACAGTGTTTAATCTCATGAGGCAGTCTTTACTCCCTGCCTCAGGGATTGAGGTCTTCACTTTGCCCTCTAAAATCCTTCGAAATCCCCGCGTGACTCACACTTCCAGTCACACACAGAGCCACATGAACGCAAAAAGCTCCCCGTACCTCTCTAAAGACACCGTTCCCAATCCAAGAGGCCTTATGTTACACCAGGCACGGGGCAGGGCAGAGTGTAAGGTTCAAGTGAGTGAAGAAAGGAGCGTGCAAGTAATAGACAAGGGGAAACACAGGAAAACAAAATCTGACTCCGCTTCCGAAAGCCACTCACATCCCCACCCTCCACTCTGTGCCACCTGCGACAGCACAGAAGCACGGGCACCGAGGGCTGCCAGCTCAGGAACTGGGCTGCAGGGATCAATCCCTCTTCCGTTCAGCTCCGGGCAGCACCAAGGAATGGCCTCCAACACCAAGTGGCCAGCCACCGCCCGCGGAATACAGCAGTCTCAGCAGCGCAGCAGGCAACAGGAGGAGGAATAAAAATCTCACAACGAAAAGTCGTGGCATAGGAGAATTCACTTTGTGCTGTTTTCCAAATGGAAAACACACACTGTGTAAAGTTCAAAAAGTTTTTAGAGATGACAGAACGGGGGGGTTACGAGGCTAAAACTTCAGAGTTGAATTGGTCTCAGAGCCAGGATCCAAACTGGAAGAGGTTTTGGTAATGCTGCCACGGGACGTTTTTAGAGCTCTAGCAACACCTGAGGAGGAAGACGCAGTTTTCATGAACTGGAGAGAACAGCTCGTAACGCTTCAGAGCCGGCAGCATCCCGAGGCCTCGCTCTCCCACACGCCCGGATACCTGCGCCCCAGGGCGTCGGCATTTTGCACGTTTGCAGACAGGAAAG